CTTCATGTTCCGCCTTCTATACTCTTTGCAACCTCGTTTGCTTCTGCCCCTGCTTATCCAGATGTTGTTGGCCCAGCCGCCCAGCATAGTCCCGTATGTTGCTAAGACGGCCGCCTGCGGATGCCACCGGGATCCCCGGTGACAGCATGGGGTCCTAAGATTACCCGTGGCCCCGAGATGACCAAGGATGGTCCCAAGACGCCCCACGCTCCCTAGCCGATCCCAGGCCTCCAAAGCGGGAATCCCAGTCGGCGGGTAGAAAGGGATTCAGCGCAATGGGAAGTGATGGGTTGGAGGGGAAGGATGTCAGATGTGGCGCGAGCGCACTTAGCTTGTCCTCGCCCCTCTTCGTCCTCCACCCCCCTCCCCTCCCCCTCCTCCCTCTCCCCTCCTTGCTCATCCTCGCTCCTGCTTCCTATCTCCTCCCTCTTTCTTCCCCTCCCCCCCTTGCTGCCTCCTGCCTCCTCTCTCCTCTCTCCTCTCTCCTGCCTGCCTGCCTGCCTGCCTGCCTCCCTCCCTCTCCTCCTCCCTGCTCTTCCCTCCCTCCTCGCTCCCCCCTCGCCCGCCTCCGGGCAGGTCCTGGCGGCGGTGTTGTGGGCGGCGGCGGCGCGGCGGACGAGCTGGAAGACCAGGCCAGCGCAGACCTCGGCGCCTTCCTGGCCTCGTTCCACGAGGTTTGAAGAAGAAGAAGACGAACAACAACAGTAATAATAATAATAATACTAATAATAATACTACTACTACTAATAAGAATAATAAGAAGAACAACAATAATAATACGACGAACACAAACAATAATAATATAAGAAGACACTTAAGGCAAATACTGATACTACTACAAACAAATGGAGTAATACTACAAATGCACAGGAACTTAATAATTATACTCGCAAGAAATCATATTATTAAGACGAATAATAAGCACCATGAGCACACTACGAATAAAAAACGATGCTATACTACTTAAGGATAAGGGACGCAAACATATACTTTCGGAGGTCCGCGTGGATTTCCTCGGTCGGCGCTGGACCCCCTCCCTGGCGTGAGGAGCGCGCCAGGGGCGGCACTGGAGGCGCGGCCGCGGGAGTCCAGCGCCGATCCGAGACGTCCGCGTGGAGCTCCAGCAGTTCATGTTTATCGAAGGCGCCTACGGCGAGTTACAACCGCCCCCTGCCTTTTGGAATCGCCCATGTGGCCGAGCGTCGTGCCTAGAACTCTGACAAGCTATCGGATCATATATCTCCCCAGCCGTTGCGGAGCCCTTCGGGGAACACGCGGGGGAGAAATAAGAAGCGGAGGAGAGGAAGGACACATAAAGAGGAGGAGGAGGAGGAGGAGGAGGAGGAGGAGGAGGAGGAGGAGGAGGAGGAGGAGGAGGAGGAGGAGGAGGGCCATCAGGAGGATGTCTGAGGGTTTCCTCCCTGGGGTTTTGAAGCGAGAGATCCCGTGCAGGTTGATTGATTTGGACTGATTCTTGCTGCTTTGGATGTTGCGGCTCTCAGACGGGGTTCCAATGCATCGGCAACCAGAAGGAGGAGGAGGAGGAGGAGGAGGTGGAGGAGGAGGAGGAAGAGGAGGAGGAAGAGGAGGAGGAGGAAAAGGAGGAGGAGGAGGAAGAGGAGGAGGAGGAGTAGGCCTCTTGAGAGCTTCTTGGGACACCCTTTGGGGCCTCCTGTGAGCTTCTTTGGAGCCTGTTGGAGGCCTCTTGGGAGCCTCCTTGGGCCTCTTGGGGTCCTTTGGGGGTTTCTTGGGGGCCTCTTTGGCCGTCTTAGAGCGTTACTGGCCCGTCTGACGCCGTCGGAGCCAATCTTGGATGCCTTTGTGAAACGACTTGGGGCCCTCTAGGGGTGCTTCAGGTCCGTCTTGGAGGCCATGGTCGGCGTCTCGGAGACCTCTTGGGGTCGTCTTGGTGCCCTCTTGGGGCCGCCGGGCCCTCTTGGGCCGTTCTGGGGCCATCTTGGAGGCCTCCGGGGCGCTCTGGGGGCGATCTTGGGGCGCTCTTGGGCCGTCTCGGGCCGTCGGAAGACCGAAATGAAGCACGTGCCACAATTTTTCAAAACCCCAAGCAATATCAACGATTTTTGCCTCTTCGGGCTTTCCTGGAGGACCTCTTGGAGGCCTTTTGGGGGGCCTCTTGGGCCGTCTTGGGCCGTCGTGGAGGCTTCTTGGGCGAACATGGAGGCATCTTGGACTCTCTTGAGCTGTCTTGGAGGCCATCTTGGACCATCTTGGGCGAACTTGGAGGCCATCGTGGCCGTTTTGGAGGCCATCTTGGCCATCTTGGAGCCATGTGGAGCATGAGAAACCTTTCCAACTGAGTCTTCCAGGTGGCCGGCGGCATCGGCTGAAGTCCCAGGGGGAGCTCCTCTGGAAAAGAACCAAAACCAAGTCATAAGACGTTCAGCACGCCGAGCATCCCTGTGGCAAGCCAACAGGGGGCGGCGGATCTCATGGCCTTCGGTCGATGCCGCCACCGTGCCCTGGTTGTGCTTATGAAGCCTATTGGATGTTCGTTGGGATCTCGTAGGAGGCCTTTCGTGGGCTTCTTGGAGGCAGTTTTGAGGCCTCTTAGGGCCGTTCTTAGAGCCTCGTTGGGGCCTCTTGGGGGCCTCTTGGTGTCCCTTGGGGACCATCTTGGGGCCTCTTGGGGGCCTCTTGGTCGTCTCTTGGGGTCTCCTGGGGGTCTCTTGGGGCAGAAGGCTTGGATTTTCTGTTTGTGGGGCCGTCTTGGGGCCCTCTTAGGCCGTCTTGGGCGCCTCTTGGGCTGTCTTGTTCCGCTCTAAGGCCGTCTTGGGGCCCTCTTGGAGGCCTCTTGGGCTGTCTTGGGGTGGTCTTGGGGGCCTCTTGGGCCGTCTTGGAGCGTCGGAAAACAGAAAAGGCGAGAACGCCCAAATCTTTCAAAAACCTAAGGACAATAATGATTTTTGCCGCTTGGGGCCTTCTTGGGAGGCCTCTTGGAGGCCTCTTGGGGCGTCTTGGAGGCCTCTTGGGGCGTCTTCGGGCCGTCTTGGGCATCCTGCGCCGATCGTTCGGCGACTCGGGGCCCTCTTGGACCGTCTTCGGGGCCTCTTGGAGCCCTCTCGGCCCGTCTTGGGGCCCTCTTGGCTCCGAAAAAGTTGCGCGAGAGGCCGCGAGAAGCCCCATGGGGGCACGCGGGAAGCCCCGAGAGATCTGGCAATTTGGGGTCCGGGCCTCTTCAAGACTCGTCAGGAGAGCTCACTCCGTGCCCACTCCGTGCCCAGCGGCACGCTGGCGGGTTCGGCGGCGAAGTCCGAACCCTACCCTTGCCGGTCAACGATTCAGGTCATTCGATGGGTGGCGGGGGTAGGGTTCTGAATCCGTCGAGCACGTGGCGAAATCCGAGCCCCGCCCCCGCCTCCCGTCGATTCAGGGGGAGCGATGGTTGGTGGGGGCAGGGGTTCGGATGTCGCTGCCGAGCTTGTGCAGTTTTTGTCCTCTTCCTCTGGAGGTGGCTGGCCAGCACGGTGACGATGGCGGCGGCGGCGGCGGCGAGGCCGCTGGCGGCGGCGACATCCCAGGCATGGAGCCGTCGTGGGCGCGCGCGCTGCGGCTCCTGGATCTCGTGCCAGACGGGGGCCCAGGCGGCGGCGGCGGCGGCGGCGGCGGCGGCGGCGGCGGCGGCGGCGGCGGCGGCGCAGCGGCCGCCGGGGGGGGCGGCCGCGCCGCGGGCGCTGCAGCGGTCGCTTGGCGGTTCCAACAGGCGAGCAGGCAGCGACACGAGCATAAAAACGCGGAGGCCCCGCGCGGACCTCCGAGTTGCTCTGTGTTCCTGTTCCTGCTTGTTCCCCTGCTCAGAGACGGGGCCCCGGGGGACGGGGGCCGGGCGGGAGAGCCGCCGCTGTCTCTAGCCGGCACGCCTCCGAGTGGAGGGAGCGGGAGCGGACGTCCACTCGGCGACAGGCGCTGTGGGCTTGGGCGGCGGCGACGACGACGACGACGACGACGACGACGACGACGACGACGACGACGACGACGACGACGACGACGACTTATGCGGCGCGCCTCAGGGGGTGCGCGCCGCGACCCCTGTTACCGTTACCCCCCCCCCCCCCCCGACGCCCCCCCCCCCCGGGTACCATGCCTTATCCCCCAGAAATTGAAAAATGGTCTCCGGATGCCCTGCATGGGCGGGGCGGCGTCGGAAGCAAGCTGGCCCAGTGGTCGGTCGGCCACCCACAGGGGCAGCGCGGGGTGGGAGGGCGCAGGCCTGGGCCTCCCAGACGGGGTCGGAGGGGGTCGGATGATCGCGCCGCATCGCCGATGCATCGGCGATGCGACTCGATGTGGAGTCCGATTTTGTCCACACCGACGTCGCCGATGCATCGCCAGCGTCGCCGATGCATCGGCGATGCGTCGACGATGGGCCGCGATCCTCCGACCCCACTTGCGTCGACCCCATCTGGGAGGCCCCTGCTCGGAACAAGAAGGGGCCTCGGGTTGAATCTGCACCGCATGCGGCCTTGCGGCCCCGGGGCTCCATCCCTCAGGGCCCCAGCTTGGAATGCGCCGAGGTCGGGACGGCCGGCGCCGCGGAGGCGGAGCCCTCGTGGGCGCGCGTGCTGCGGCTGCTGGAGGCGCAGCATCGTCTAATCGATCCCCATCCCCACTGGGCCATGGTATCTCAGCCCCACCTGCCCCCTATAGGTTCAGGTGAACGCTGACGTGGAGTACTTCTCCATGGATCTGCGATGCGGGCGCTGGGGGGGTGGGCATGATCGAAAAATCACCGGTCGATCGACACGTCCACCCGCTCTCCGCGGTGGCGACGGGCCTCCCGCGAAGCCCGAGGGGAGCAGCATTCATCCCCACCCTCAGGAACTTTCGTTCGGCCCGTCGCGCCGCTGGTTCTGGTCACCACGCTTCGGCGCGACGCGCTGACCACTTCCTGGTCCCAGGCGTCGAACGCTAGCCGCTCGTGAGGCACAGCGCGCCGCCAGGGCCGCCACGACGCGCCGAGAAAAAAGAAGTGCCCGACCGCAGGTCCCGCGAAAGCCCGAGGGGAGCAGGATCATAGATCCCCACTTGGGGGGCCAAGTCGGCCAGCGGCGCCAAGGCCATGCCTCACCGCCCCCCAAGCCACCCCAACCCAACCCCGCAGGCCCCGATTTGCCCTCCATTTCCAGTGGGGGGGGCGTCGGGGAACATTGAAAAAACGCGTGTGGAACCCGTATCACCGACCCCAACCGAAATTCGGGTCTTCGGGTTGGGTTGGGGTGGTCTTGTAGGTAGTCAATGCCAGTGGGGATACGGATCGCTCAAGAAGATGCTCCGAGGCTGTGCCGCGGCCGCAGGCGGGCGCGGCGGCGCCGCCGCCGCTGCCCTCCTTCTCGGAGGCGGCGGCCGCGGGCGCGTCGCCGGGGAGCTTCTGGGCCGCCCCCGCCACGGGCAGCTCGGAGGACGCGAGGAAGGGGCTGCGGATGGAGAGGTCGGGAGGGTGCCGACCGCACACCCGCACCTACCGTGGCCAGGCCGATGTTGGGCCCAGGATCTCAGAGGAGGAGCAGGCACCGATGCCGCTACCCCTGCCTCGCCCTCGCCTCTCTGTGGGCATCCTGGCGTCCTGGGAGGCCCTCGTCGCCACGGCCGGACTCGCCTCGAAGTCTGTGTCAGCGCACCTCGGGAGAGGTCCAGGGAGCAGCGGTCGTCCGCACCTCCTGCTTTCCCCCAGGTCCCAGGGCCAGGATCAGCATGTAGGTGCCCTCCCCGCCCTGGCCCGGGGGGAGGCGTGCAGGCCGATGCCGGGCCCAAGATGGGCCCAGGGGCCCAGGTGGAGGGTTTCTCCGAAGGGTTTAGGCGGCCTGTCCTGCCCCTCCTCCTGCCTCCTCCTCCTCCTCCTCCTCCTCCTCCCTCCTCCTCCTCTCTCCTCCTCCTCCTCCTCCTCCTCCCTCCTCCTCCTCCTCCTCCTCCTACTCCTCCTCCTCCTCCTCTCCTCCTCCTGCTCCTCCTCTCCCCTCCCTCCATCTCCCTCTCCATCTCCTCCTCCTCCATCTCCTCCTCCATCTCCTCCTCCCCCTCCTCCTCCTCCTCCTCCTCCTCCTTCTCCTCGGGTCGCCCACGGCCCCGGGGGAAACCGTGCAGGCCCAGGGTCGGTGCAGGCGTACGGCCGGCGCCCTCCCGAGAGGTACAAGGAGCTCCTGAGAGAGGCGGACGGCATGAGCGACGTGGCCCCGGGTGCGTCCGTGCCGACGGGCAGGCTCGGCGGCTGCAACGGGCCTCGCGTAAGAGAGTGACCTTTCGCCGGAGTGGCCTCTGGTGCGGGCCCGTAATGGTCCCTCCTGCACCGGCCTGCGCGCGTGGATCGCGCCTCCCCGCGGCCCCCTGGAAGCCGGGCGGCAAAGGTCACTCTTGCCTGGGGTCACTCTTGCGCGTAGCCGATGCACAGGGTGAGGTTACGCTGGGGTGTGGCTTGCGATCTGCGTCGTTGGGGCCTGCGGGGGCATCACGTTGCCCTCGTCGGGCCTCCGCGGGGCGCGGCGGAGAACTCTGTCGAGGCCCTTGCCCGCCCCCCCAGGGTGCGCGCTGCAAACCACACCACGCCCTCGGCCCTCTGCAAACGACACCCTTCGGAGTCGCCGACAGGCCGCCGCGGCCGCCCACCGTGCGGCCGCCGCCCGCGGCCGCCTCCTCCGCACCTGCGGCCGGCGCGGCGGCACGGCCCGCGAGGCGGGCGGCCGCCGACGACCCGCTGGCCGAGGCGGTGGGCAAGGTCAGCATCGTTGAACTTGTCCCCATCCCCACTGGGCCATGGTATCTTTCGGTGTCAAAGCATGGGAGCATCGTCTACCCTCGTCATGCCGCCCTTAGGAGTGCGTTAGCATCGATCAGCGTTTGGTCATCAATGACATAGCGCCGGTTCAGCGTCGGTTCGCGTCGATTCGCGGCGATTCAGCGACGATTGGCGTAGACTTAGCGTCGATTAGCGTCGGTTAGCGCCGATTCACAGGAGCCAAGGCGATGTTTTGGGAGGCTCACATGAGTTGCCACATAGGTATCTCGGCCCCACCATCCCCCCCCCAGGTGGGGGTCACCCCCTCGAAGCCCGAATGGAACAGCCTATGTCCCTTCTAGGGGTGTAGCTCGGCCAGTGGGGCCGAGGCCATGCCAGTGGGGATGGGGATCGGTCAAACGCTGCTCACAAGGGCAACCTGGTGCCTGCGATTCCCACGCCGCCCGACGACGAGCCCAGGGAGCCTGGGGAGCTGCGGAAGGAGGACTTCGTATGGTCGGAGCACGAATTCAACGACGGGGACAGGGAGAACAGGCGGGTCCTCCGCCAGTTCAAGAAGGAGTTCAAGCAGATGGCCGCGGAGACCCCGGAGGGGCTCAGGAGCCCGCGCCTCCTAACGGCCGCCCTGGACCTGGCCCTCGCGTGCGTCAAGGCTTACGACTTGGACAAGGCAGACGCCATCTACCGTCGGGCCGTGGGCGAGTGCCGCAGGAGGGGCATGCCGTGGGATGTGAAGTGCATCCAGGACATGG